TCTGAAGTAGTCGATTTCTTTCCGCCGTCAAAAGGCTGAAATCCGCAAAAATCAATTTTCTCGTTTTTCTCGTAAAATAAGCGATATTTTTAAAAACAAACTACATAGTGGTTCTAGTTAGAATAAGGCCTACCTAAGGTTAGAATATGAGCGAAATCGATTTTTCGACCGTTGCCACGAAATGTTCGATTTTTGCTGACATCCTCTCTTAAAATTTTTCTGGGCACGGAATTGTTTTTCTTCAGTTATGTTGACAACGCATACATTTTTTAAACTAAAGCTTCTTTTCGTTTATCCGTTTAACGGGACGAAAACCCGTTTTTCTTTTTTCCTTCATCCAGGATTATCTTTTAACACGTGCAAATATTTTGCTTCATGCTGTGTGCCCAGAGCTGTGCCTATTTATGACGTACTTGACAGAATAACGCCGACTCTAGCATAGCTTTACGTGCGCTTTCGATGGACGAGTTGCAGTTGATTACTTTCGCTCGTCAGGTGGAATTAATTTCTAAGAAAATGAGTGTGCAAATTGATACTAGTACGTATTTTTGACCTTGATAACGTAGATGAGAACATTACCTTAAATCCAGATTATTTCGAGATCAGAAAAAAAACCTGTTTACATGAACTAAATGACATCTAAACCGGAAGTCACCCTGCTATCACCGCCTGCCTGTCAAACCAAGATAAAACAACCTAAATGTTTCCTACATTGTAAACATAGCTTTTACATAAACTAAAACAAAGAGAGTTAAAGAGGTTATGTATATTTGTGTCCGCGATATAGACTTTTGACCTCATAAAAGTTTTGAGTTAGTGTTGAGAGTGTTTTAGTATAAAGTACGTCTTGTTGGAGTTGATGAGGAGCGAATGATGTAAGTTGTTAGAAGTTTACATAGCGGATGTTCAAAGTGCACCCAAGTACATGACAACATTTCCTTTGTGGTCGAAATAATAGCACGAATACACTTTATTTGGAAGTGATGTTGCTTTTTTAGCACAAGTTGCCTAAGAGTTAGCTAGTTTTGTAGTGATTTTTCTCCTTTTCTTTTCAAGAATCACTTGAGCTCTTTAATCTCTTGTGAGCAGCAATTTTTACAGTTTGAAGCAAAAAGAAAGAATAAAATACAGGTAAGACATTTTCAGAATAATATAAAGAGCGTTTTATAACAGAATTCGCCATTTTTACTCACGAAGAAAAACAAACATTGTTCATACCAACAGTGAGAGTTGACATGACTTTTGCTTTCAACTCGTAAAAGCATATATCATTTACAGAATAATTTCCTTTGTTTTCTTCAAGTTCTTGTTAGCTTTATCTCCATTTAAGTGTCTCTCGATAAATATTATCAATGAAGAAGGGAATTCATTAAGTGTTACTCCGTTTTTGATAACATTAGAACTATCAAACTGGGGCGCTGCAATCAATTATGCTTTTTAGAAGACATAGGAAGTTGAAAGCAGAGTTTTTCTTTAGAATTTAGCATTCGTTTTTCATTTTAAAAGTTGAAAATAAAATGTCAGAGAGCTGAGCCCGGTCGTACGAAGCCTGGATAGCGCTATCCGGCGGATAAATTCTTATCCAGTGGAATACTATTGAAAATATCTATAGATAGAAAACCTTTTTCGCTAACTAAAATTAATTTTTAAGTCCAATCTCGTACAAGTTGTTAGTTACACTGATGTTGTCGGTGTTTTCCCGAAACACCTCACTTTTATATCGCTTCATCCAAATTTTCAGAATTTCTACGAATTCGTCCAATCCAAAAACCTCGCTGGTCGTTTACTCAAACCGTTTCTTGATAAAAGACATCCCTGTTTCAGAATCTCATCAGGCCAAGATTGTAATCCCCGACTTTGATCCATCACATGTCATGGCGGCTGATCCAACCGATAGCTTATCAACATTACTTCCTTGCTTTGTGTCAAGACATTCCGGCTTTGGTCCCTCTTATTATTGATTTTTGGTGAAGGAATTACTTGTTAGCCGATATTGGTGGTTTTTTTTTTTCCCATTTGCAACGTTTTTACAAGAATTTATATCCGGTCTCACTAAACGCGTACACAATAAATAAATAWATATATATGCCGTGTATATGTATAATAAAATTTTCAGTTATTTATAAAGTTATTGTATATTAAATTCGTACGACAAAAGAACATTAATTGACTCTTAAATGGTTTCCGCTCGAAGCAATGCAAGAAAAACACACGTCAACCAATCACATCGCTAGAACTGTGGAAGCCATTTGCAGGTCATACTTTTTAACAAAACAGACCCCATGCAGCTTGCACACGATCAACTCATTAATAAGTGGCTTGTTATGCCGCTCAAAGGCGTATCTGGAGTGCCTATGACGTATATGTTTACCACAGGAAGCCCGCCCCATCTGTTTGTCACCTTGTTGTCCTTTTTCACTCAGACCACATGACCATTCCCTTGAATAGCAGTTGCGTAGTGAGACAAGCCCATTCGGGACATTCAGCTTGGCTCAATGTTGTCGCTAGTTCAGCTGTGCAAATCATGCCAGATGTTTAGAAACCCGCATAAACTTATTAATGAAGTGAGAAAAATTCGAAAAATTCTGCAGTCTTCTGGTATATTTGACATAGTCTACTCCGCACAGGGTCAGTGAGGATCTGGSACCGAAACTGATGATAGCTTTGTGCASTTCATATTAATGGCGTGGAATGAAGTTGTGGCCGTGCGGGATGGATAGCGAAGGGAACTGTATATGAGCGAAAAGAAAAGAGCAAAAACGAAGGATAGTCAAACAAAGCTAAAATCTCTGGATTCCTTCAAGCAATATTTTATCAGCATAGAATTAAAGGTTACAAAGGTTAACTACGATCCCCTGGATCCGCCCTTGTAAAAACAAAACTTGGGAAATCCATATCGTGGTTTTTAGCAAGTGCCGGTTTCGGTCATCTTACGAGCAGGAGATAGAAAACAATAGTCGGAAGCCGGTACAATTCTAGAATCGTATTAATGTGATAATGTTATTATTCTGTAGATAAGCTAGATTATTGAATGTAAAGCTGGGATAAACATTACGGGCTATGTTAAATGTTTGAACGACTTTACGACTGATTTTGGTTTACTATAATTCTAGGTTCCACATACAGAGGGCTTTTTCTCCTCTTTCTTTATCTTAATTCATCATCGTCTTCTTTTTTCTTGTTCTTGTTATCTTTGTTCTTCTACATCATCTTCTTCCGCTTTCCTTCTTCTTCATCTTTCTTCTTCTTCTTCTTCTTCTTCTTCTTCTTCTTCTTCTTCTTCTTCTTCTTCTTCTTCTTCTTCTTCTTCTTCTTCTTCTCCTCCTGCATTTTAGTCTTCTTCTTTATCATTATCTTCCTCTTCAGTCTTCATCTTCGTCTTTGTCCTCCCTTTCAGCGTGTTATTCTGTCAGTTTATATCAATTCAGTGTTGAATGAAGTCTGCAAACTTTGTGAAAATTGCATTAACATGCTAATGTTACAATTAACACCTCGCCTATCTCTTCATTGTTTCATCTACATACGGTTTCCGTTTACAAACACTTTCATGCTTTTCGGCTGTCAATACTAAAACCTAATATTCTCGAAGTAAACAAGATTCCTGCGGGCCACGCGGAGCCAGTACCTCGCCGGTTAGAGCGCCTACTGGACTGTAAAAGACGATCAGCCTGGAGCTAAATCTACGTGTAGAGAATTCCTCAGTACTTAAATCTCGTTCGATTTTCTGCCTGGCTGTATCTGGCTCGTAAAGTCTGAATTACATCAGAATCGACTCTCAGAGTTTTGCAGTCTTTGGTTAAAGTTTATCAAGTTTGGTCATCGGTTACGAGTAAGTTGTGTTAACGATTGTAATTATTATATATATTTTTGCTATTCAACACTAAATCTTTAGAGCAAGAAGAAGAGAAAGACTTCTGATGAAGAATTTCTCTACAATTTATTTTCATCCAACGATCAAATCTAAACTATATTTGAAAATATTTTAAAGTAGCTTACTGATAAGAAGCAAACGATCGAGTATCGTCCCGAAACAGGTACAGTATTTTCGCCGTATTATTTCAATTCCTATTTTAGGCTATAAGTAGGCACTTTGTATCGGATGACTAAAGCCAGATATGTATCGATATCTTTTGTACGTTTTCGCGCGCTCTGACAGATCATAGGATTTTCATTTTGTAAATTCTCTGCCTTCTCTCGACTAGCATGTACTCTCTGACATTTCATCGCGATTCTAGCTAAACTTCTTCAAACTTGAGAGTTATAAAAGAAGCGATACAAATCTTCTGTGATTGAGAAGCTTTCGGCGCAATCCAGTCACAAGGTGCCTTAGGTATTTCACAGATAATCTTCTCACGTTCCGTTTGCCTTTGTTTGGTACAATTGAATGTTGTTGGTGATAATACAGCTAACACATTCCTGGTATCGATTCCTGGTAATATTTGGTTGTTTATTCTAGATCGCATTAACTGCCCAACGGGTGGTAGGGTAGGGCAAAATAGTGGAAGACTGTCTACATTTCTTTGTTAGAAAAGTTCGTCCACTCCGACGTCATATGTCCGGGTCATGATTTATTATTTATCAATTATTTATTAGATTATCGATTTTTTTACTTGCCTTCATCAGGATCCAAAGTGATGAACATCCCACTCCAGACCCATTGCCCTCGATGTGACGTGTTGCTATGCAACCCAAATACCATCCACACTTTTGAAGAACATCAACAAAATGATCTCAGTTCTGCGGGTAAGTCAAACAGACAGTAAGATAAGATATAATATAGAGATGGTAATCGCGACGCGCGTTTCATTGCCTGCTCAGCGGTTCAGGAGACTGGGGAGAGAGATAAATAGCTCGTTAAACTTATTTTCGGATAGTCTTTCAAAACGCGTTAATCATCTACGGTCTAGGGGCCGACTAACCTCTCCCTTAGTCTTTGGCCGAGCTTCCTGATCAGTCTGTATATCGTCGGTATCTATGTCGGGGCCGGAAATCTCCGGGATAGACGTAAATGCTTCGCGCTGCCATACTGCGCTTCAGTACTGCGTCTGGAGCTATGATCCTATTTTTTTTAAAGAAAAAAGAAAAATAATAACTCATTTTCTTAGCAGATGAAAATTTGGTTAACAGGATACGCTAATTAACATCAAAAACACATATCGCATATTGAATAAATTAAAACCGAACGACAAACAAAACGTACCAGAAAGAAGTGACTGGAACTGCTCTTTTTGTGAAGAAAAGATCAATATTAATACCAGCACCTTCAATATTACAAGTTTTTTTCTTTTATGTTCTCGGTGCTTAATTTGCCTCGATTATTTCTATATTTTACTCTGACATACCACCACATTTACGAACAGTGACAAAGCTACCGCTTGCTCCAAAGCGGTTGAACACTCTTCACTCTTATTCAAAGTCAGCGTCAGAATCAAGCTTGAGCACTTTTTTCTAAGGTCCAAACAAGCTTACTAACCTCTTGGTGTTCGTCGTGAATTAGTCTGTCTATCACTTGTCCGCATTATCAAGAAATTCGGAGCGAAATAAACGTTCAATCGATTCGTAGTACGACTCTGATACACTTGTCCATGTGAGTGCATTCTGTTTTGTCACACACTCTTGTCACACACTATCAAACTGCATGGGTGTAAAGTATGCAGAATTTTCTCACCGTCGAGCACCGTGTATGCATTCTGACTGCATTAGTGCATGCATGCAAGGTAATGCAATTCATGCGCGCAACGGTATTGAATACAACTGCAAAGCAAAACTGAAAATTGCATCGAGTTTATCTCTGCAGCTGCTAGCACAAACTGACCGCAAAGATATTTTCAATCAAGGGAATAAATGCAAAAAGAATGAAAGAACAAAAAAATTAATTTAGTAATCTTTGATCTCTGAGGCAAAAAAAAAAAAAAAAACATATTCAAAATCCTTCTAGATTTCATATCTCATAGTGGTTTTTTTCCTTGCCACAGATTTTCTGATGCCCTTTGCATCGAGATATCGCTCAGTTTTTTATCTTTATCAGTTCAGTAATAATTCCATTAAACTGTAATCGCTCAGTATTCTATATCTTCTAAATACCACCCGTGTCAACTGCTATAAAAGAATTTAATTTTCTTAGATAAGAGAAGTCATTCTCGTCGAAGGATTTGCCTCTATCTGTTAAAGCGGCGGAAAAAATGCGCGAAAAAACGCACTTAAACTAAATAAACTTCATAATGACGAGGTCTTAGTTTATTTGAGTTGACGTTAAATATGGCTTAGCCGTTTCTTTGTTAGTCTTCCGTGCTTGAATTGAGAAGAAATTGTAAATTATCTGCGCTATCAGTCTTGAAATGGCAGTAAAAGGAAAAGCGAGTAAATCCCTTGGCCAATCGCGCGGTCCATTAACCTTCGCATTTGTCAGTGAGCTCGAAGCGATTGAATTGTCCAAGTTAATTGAGGCTAATTTTGTCCTTCTCGGAGTTCGACAAGCAATGCTACCGCATGTTGGAGTCATTATTCACTTTTTCCCCAAGCAGGTCAAATCAGAAATACCACTACACGAGAGCCCGGAACAACTACTTAATTTTTGTGAAAGTTGAAGGTTGTTTTTCTTCGGTGATTTTTATTTTTATTTTTACTTCCAACAAGATTCATCGGCGTTCATTCTAGGACCAGAGATTGAATTCCAGAACAACTTCTCTCGCTCGTGCCGCATGGATCAACAACGACAGCTGCACGCTTCGATACAAGAAAACGGTTGTAGGAGAGCGCGGCATAGACGCTTCTCATCATCAGACTCAGAAACTATTCTGGGACAAGCCGGTGAAAGCATCAACACTGATTCCATTGAGAAGTTTCTATCGCTCTGCTTGCAGCAGTTTGAAACATGCCATTCTAGAACTGCACGAAATGGGGATGGAACTCAGAACGTCAAGATTGATAATTTAAAGGTAAGCTAGTGTAGCATGTTATTTCTCGTGCGTTTATTCCTATGTTAAACTATTATTGCCAAGTATTTTTATGCTTTCAAAGTTAATAGTATCTTCAAGAGATTTTATGTTATCTGATAGACAACTCAATTAAGGAATTTTTAACTGTATTTTCTTCATAATAAAGTGCACTGATAACTTGTGATTTACTTTGTTGATGTACGTGTTCTGGGCAGGGCTGATGTGGTGATAAGATATTGAAGCTATGGCTATAAAAACACAGATAAAACAATCTCTTTGTCACGGATGTGGCAGATTTTCAATTAAGAATAGGCGCGCATATTAATCTTTTTATCATTGTTTTCGAACTGTATTTTTGTTTTGTCGTTTCGAGGTTTTTTCGATGTTTTTCTTCCGGTGATATTTCTAACTGCTTTTCTTTACTTTTTCTTTTCTTCTTCGTTTAATTAGATTTGTTGATTTGAGTAGTTTGATGGATTGATTGACAGTGGGTGAGGAGATGATGGATAATGCGTGCGTGGGGAGATAACAGGATAGATACTGGTAAACTTCTTGATGAAAGTATTTGAATATGGAGAAGAAAGCTTGACAGATTTGCGTAGAAATGAAAGGAATGGATTATGCAGTGAAAAATATGTATAATAGGAATCTATCAAAGAGGATTATTATGATCCACAGAGGCCAAGCATGCTTTGATTTCGTGTTATACCAAGTGTATGCGAAATAACGTCACCAACATCATTATTAACAAAGATACTTCCTCAGCTGACGTCATACCATGCTTAGTTACTTCATAATTAGCATAATTAGCATACTAGTACCATCATTTCGCAACATACTTATTGCCGTCATTTCGCAGCATACTTAGTGACGTCATTTCGCAACATACTTGATGACGTCATTTCACAACATACTTAGTGACGTCATTTTGCAACATACTTAGTGACGTCATTTCACAACATACTTAGTGCCGTCATTTCACGACATACTTAGTGACGTCATATCACATATACTTAGTGACGTCATTTTACGACATACTTAGTGACGTCATATCACATATACTTAGTGACTTCATGTCAAATATACTTTGAGTACTTTAAAACTGATATACCATTAGTTTACATCTTTTTGCTGTTACGTACCAAGATGACGTCATATTATGGTTTCTCTGCTTACGTCATATCTCATACTTGCCATCATTGTTTATTGTCTTATCAGTATCATTATTATTGTTGTTGTTGTTTAAGGAAAACTGGGTCAGCTTCAATAACACCAATAATCACCACAGTACCCCAAACCAGCACAGTACCCCAAACCAGCACAGTACCCCAAACCAGCCGGCCAGTACCCCAAACCAACACAGTACCCCAAACCAGCACAGTACCCCAAACCAGCACAGTACCCCAAACCAGCACAGTACCCCAAACCAGCNCACAGTACCCCAAACCAGCACAGTACCCCAAACCAGCACAGTACCCCAAACCAGCACAGTACCCCAAACCAGCCCATCACGTTCAGCTTGAAGGGACCCAGACCAACAGGTCGTACCTGTCGCTACTGTCACCGAGAGATGAGGACAGGCACGCGTGGAATGAATGTAAGCTACAAAACAATCCATATTCACCATGGGTCCAAAATACCTGCTCCCTCAGGTGGGACCTTAAGCTGTAGGCGACAACGACAGCGATGCATTTCATGTTTGACTGCTATTTTTCTCGAAAAGCACCCCAGTTTTAAACCACTAGTTTCAGTGAAACTAGTAGGCTTGCCGCCGTCCGCGTCGTAGAGCCGGAAAAATGAACTCGACCTTCCTATACGAATTTCCAAAGGGAAGCCGCATACTATGTCAATGAGCTGCTGAGCTCAGGCCGACAAATGCCGCAGAAAGAACAAATTGATTGTAAAATGCACACGAACGTGTATCATACTGCAATCACTTTGCTTGGCCATGTGTCTGCCACGTGTTCACCATGCCACCGGATGTGAAACGAACGGTTGCTGAAGCTGTCTTTCTTATCTCACGATGTTCAATTTATTCGTGGTTTTTACTTCGCTGGTTTTACATCCGTCTTTACATCCATACCACTAACAAATGATTACTTATTTTTAGACGTAAAAGCGCAGGGCCTGGAACGAGCATTAGAGTGACGCCACCAGTTATGACCCAGCCTCCTCGCAAGATATAATTGAAAACTAGGAAAAAGAAATTGTTAGGAAAGAGATATATTGTGAATTTTTCTAAAACGTACTCGTTCTTTGAGGATTAAAATCATGTAAATAATTGACATTTTGCTATAAATTCTGTACAATGCAACGATTTCAGCTTTTTAAAAAAGAACAAATTTATGCAAAATACAGCTTAAACATTAGCTTTTGAAGTAGTTTTTTTTACGGTAATGAAAGAAATAATACTCAAGGGAATGACACGTGGTCTAAAATGAGAAAACATTGTGCCCAATGATAAAAATAATACTTAAGGGAATGACACGTGATTTGAAATGAAAAATATTGCTCCCATATTAAATAAAGAAATTATATTAAAGAAAACGGTACGTCTAAAGTTGGAAAATTATACTCCCAAAAAAGGTCTTTTCTGAAAAAGTAACCATCATTTCGTGTCACAAACCATTGCCATCTTCGAAATAGATAAACCAGGAATCCCTATCGCTGTCACTGTACCCAGCATTCCCTAGAGTTCACTCACTATATTTAGGTCTCGTTCAAGCTGTTTCGCATAGAGCGAGCAACCACTAGCGCCGCAGGGCAAATACTTGGTGTAGGATTACGATCCCTTCACAAGGACTGATTCAAAGCGCTCAGTAGAAATCTATGATAAGGGTCACTGGGCATATTGTTGTGGCAATATTAGGAATTTTTGAACTATTTTTGATATGTTTTTTTCGCAGCATCATTTCGAGGTCTGCCCGAAGTTTCCACTCGAGTGTCCAAATCTGTGCGGCAAGATGGAGCTTGCACGAGATGAGGTAAGGCTGATTTTTTTCATTGCAAATCTTCCTTTTTGTATCTTTATCAATCTAGTTTCTATATCTCTAGTAGTTCATTAGGCGGTCGTCTAATAATCAATTAATATAAGAAATGAAGATCTTTATTTAGATTAAACTGAGGACTAGAAAATGATAGAAGCAGTCAACGTCTATCAGAACTCGCTTCGCATGTATATTAACAGCTAAAAATACGATGGAATCTCGAGTTAATCTAATTAGCTTGCAATAGAATGAGAAGCGAGAGAAAATAAGTGATCAAAAAGGCCAATTTAGCTATATATTCGGTTCATGTACTTGTACTTTTACAATAATTGTTTCTTTTCTCTTTTTAGCACAAATGTTTATGTTATGCAATCTCATATCGAGTTTTTCAAACCTATCGTTTTTTGAGTGTATTTAACTATCAACGCTGAACGCTCTTTTTAGTTAAACGTAAATTCAACTTATAATGATTCATAAAGGCCTCTTGAACGATCGTCCATGCGGAAAGAACAAAAGATTAACTGTTTCTTTCCGAAATATTCTGTAAAACCTCAAGTACATGATTATTCGTGACCTTAGCTCTTGCTTTTCTTCGCTCGTCATCATATAATCCCAAAAAATAATTCTTAGAAACTCGATTATTTTCGCTTTAGTTTTGAGAGCGAAATTTGTGGAATATATAAGTGTTTTTTCGTCTTCATTCTCCTTTAGTTTAACGTTTTGAAAAATTAACTGTTTGAAAAATTTTCCCCCTTTTTTTGGCTTGAAATGTTTTTGGCGGCTCACAAGCGTGACGTATGGATTCAATTAAAGCCAAAAACAAAGCCGCGAAAGAGCCTCAACATTCCAGGTTTCCTCCCGGAAGGGAATCAGGGCTTCAATACTCTTTCTTGTCTGCAAACAGCTTATCTGACTTTGATACGATTATAATTTTTGAAATACAGCTTTAAAAGAGACAATATTTATTGGAATTGGATGGTTTTTGAGTTCACCAAGTAACAAAAACAATTTAACATGTTTTTAATGGTCTCAGCACTGCGACACGACATGTTTTGGCTTGTCAATAATATATTTTTTTAAATACTTTGAAAGTGAAAACTTGGTGAAGTGTAAAATATTCTTTAAAAATGATACTTGGAGCACAAAACGTTTGACTAAAAAAACGACGATAATTTTTTATTCCACAAATTGAGTCATGAATGAACTGGACTTCTTTTGATCGATTCCAGAATCCGTTTTTCCTTCCTTAAATCGAGTTATATTCTCATATCGATTAAATTCCAAAATCTGCATTTCCTTCGGTAATAAAGCGAGTTCTTTATCATTTATGCCAAGAATGCCTATTTAGCAATGTGGGAGGTCGTAAGGTTACCCGTGCTCACACTTAAAACACACTTACTATTATTATCACTGCCCACATGTTGAGATCTCGGGACCCTAAGGTCTGGCTAATTTAATTTGATGTTTACTGACAGCTAATTCAAAAAAGGTTGAATACTGAATACTGCATACTGAATAGTGCATTCCAAGACCGAATGGCATTGTGGGTCATAGTGACACTGTCTAAAGTAGGATTTATAATTATTATTTATTCTATTTTTAGTGTATTCCATCTGAAACAATATAATAACTACATGTAGAGAGTTAATTGCTGTATATTTACTTTTTATTTCAAATTAACGAGACCCACAATGCCCTTCGGTCTTGGAATGCACTATTCAGTATGCAGTATTCAACCTTTTTTTGAAATAGTGTATATCAATGAAATTAGTACAATAATGAAGGGAAGAAACAATAGAATACTTTTTCTTTAGGGGAATGTAATATCTTGAGATGTTGCACTGTTTTGTGCCACTCAATATGGGAAGACTTTTAAAAGCCATTCCGAAGTTATGGAAAAAAACTGGGTCGAGTTGGTATTGCAGTGTATTGTGGGTCTGTTTAAGGGGACATTTATTCAAGATGGCGTCGATTTCGGTCATTGCAGTGCAATTTGGGGAACTTTGAGGGGGCATTTGTCCAAGATGGCGTCTATCAGCCCCACGATGCACTGCAAAGCCAACTCAAGCCAGTTTTTTCCTCAACCATAGCTTCACTGACTTTTTCTCTCCCTTTTCTTCTGGTAGCTGTCTAACCACATCATGGAGGAATGTACAGAGGCTACAGAATCGTGTTCCTATCAAAGTATAGGATGCTCATTCCAAGTAAGTACCGAACTCCTTTTTTCTATCTATTTTTGACTTTACGCCCAACGAGAAAGGTCTTTTTGTTGATTGGTTCCCTGAGCAATTGGAATCCATCAGTCTGCTTTGGTCTCGCTTCCAATAAACCTTTTTACCTTGGGCGTAAATGTTTTCCCATTTCAGACCACGTGTCATTCCCTTGAGTTTCATTTCTTTGTTTAGTTGTTACACATGAGAAGACACATGAATATGGATGCAACTAAAATTTGAATCTTATTCTCAAGAGAATGACACGTGGTCTGAAATGAGTAAACATTGCAATAAGACGAATAAGTTCTATTGCTTGTCTCAGTTTTGGAAAAAATGGAAAAAAACAGCACAAAATATTCCTTTTAATTGCAGGGTTCGAAAACAAATTTATCGAATCATCTCGAAAAGAACATCGAAGACCACCTCCAGTTGGCGTGCGAAGTCATCGACGACCAGAAAGCCGAACTAGAGCGACAAGCCGAGCGAATCCGACTGCAAGACGAAGCCATCGTTCAACTGAACGACACAGTAGTCAAGATCAAGGCTCTATTCGATGAGCAAGTGAAACTGAGAGAAAAGCAGGATAACGCTATCACCAAACTAAATGATCAACTGAAAGAGCATAAAAAGAATTACAGCAAATTGGAAAAAGAGACGAAAGCGAAACTCGAGGAATTGGAAAAACGTAATAAGGATATCAATAATAATATTAGTAATAATAATGAAGAAGAACTCATACGCTACCCTGGGCTGAACGGTTATGGTGAACAGATTTGGAAGATTTCGAGTTTTGGGAAAAGGATTTCTCGGATTAGGACGGGTCGAAGTGAAGATCCAATTTGCAGTGAGCCGTTTTATACCTCTGCGTTTGGGTACAAAATCTCTTGCTGGGCTTATTTGAATGGACGCGGCAAGGAACTGGGACAGAGTCTGTCTATCTACGCATGCGTGATGAGTGGAGAGTACGACGCGGTGTTGAAGTGGCCAATCAAACCGCGCTACACGTTCATACTTCTAGATCAGAACCCGGATGTGGAAAAACGGAAGGACCTTGTGCGCGTGCGCAAGGTGCACGACTTCAAGCGCGATGACGTCAGGCGGAAGGGTATCGATCGACCGAAACGAGACGAAAGGGCGATTATTGTAGGATTTGATGATTTTGTTTCGTTGGAGAAACTGGAAGCTGGGAATTACCTCGCCGAGGATTCGTTATACATTCGGATTTTGGTCGACATTACCGACACCTAACTGACATTAATCGAAATGTCGGGGCTTTGATTCGTCGGAGAAACTGGAAGCTGGGAACTACCTCGCCGAGGTTTCGTTATACATTCGGATTTTGGTCGACAGGGGCTTTGTTTCATTTGAATGTTAATCGTACCTAGACCTCTCACTCGGCATCCTGCTCAACTACGCATGCGCAAAATGTACCCAGAGCCTGCACTCCTCGTGGTCCACACCTGGTTGTTTTTAAGTGCTGACCACATACAAGTAGCTGCGCAGGCTCTTCGGGCGAGATTTAAGAAATGACGATATTCATCAGTAAACTCACACTCTTTTTTAGTGCGTTCACCCTTAAGCTCCTTTTTTTGTCCTTTGTCCATTAAATAAGACTTTACGAATACAAGGCGTTTTCAACGATCGTCATTTGTAGATTGTTTCTCGCGACGTTGCAGTTGAAAACGGTGGGCGCACAAAAAAAGGAACTCGTGTGATCGGTTCGAGACCGCGTCATCTTTGTTAAACCTAACGCGCCCCACACTAACACATGTCATTCCCTTTAGTATAATTATTTTGCTCCATCTGACTATAACGCTTCAGAAAGACAATATAGATGAAGCTGACAAAGAATCTTATTTTCAAAGGAATGACATGATCTGAAATGGGTTAAACCTTTACACCATCACGTGATGGCAGCCATGTCACGCAGGAGGCAGGAACAATTGAATCGTGCCTAAAATAATTAATAGAAGTAATTCAGTTTCTTAGGGGAAAAAGACTATTGTTGTGCCTCTTATAATGGCAGCCATCACGTGACCTATTCTTCGTTTACACATGACGTCATAGCCGCCATCTTGGATAAATTTAACAAAAGACTTGTTAAGGAATTCTTTTGTTATATCATCAAACATGGCCGTGGAAATGAATGAAAACCAGTTGTTTTATCAGTTATCAACTAAAACACGCGATATCCATATCGAGGTAATTTTATTACAACTACATTAGCACCAACAACGTCAATGTATGATAAAATGTTTTCTTTCGCTTTGCGTTTAACCATTATTATTTTGGTGCTAAAATTGAAGCACTTTTTAAAATGAAAAACTACTTTTTCTCTACAAAATAATCAAGGATAAAAATGTATGTTTTTAGATTAATAAAGATATTATGCTCTATCATTAAATAAGTATTTTCTGGATGATAAGATATATTATTAAAAAGTTATCAAAAACTATTGGATTTGGAATGTCGTATAGTCGGGTTACTGCAGGGCGTATCAGTGGCGGATCCAGGGGAGGGGTGCTGGGGGTGCGCAACCCTCCCTGGTTCGACTTTGTGCCCCTACTTCTTAGATAACCAATACAAAATAATGTTTTTTCCCTTTGATTCTAARGGGTGCACCCCTCCCTGGGCTAACGTTGTGCGCAGCACCCCTCCCTGAATAAATTCCTGGATCCGCCCCTGCGTATGACCATATGACCCTATGGCAGGCAGACACTATAGTAGGCCACTTATACTATGGTCGTATAGGCGTATAGTAAAACAGACCCCTTGCAGCACGTCGGAATGCAGCTCAATTTGGAGGATAAACAAATAGATTTCCAATTCTCAGGAGATTGAAAATTCTTTTGTTTTTCCCCTCCAATTAACCTACTTTAACGTCACACACAAGGGGTCTATAGTCGGGGTAACAAGTCCCTATGGCCGTAAAGCCGTATACTACAATAGCCGGAGTAACAAGCCCATATATGGTCTATACTATATGAAAGCTTGGTTACCCATTTCAAAATGGCGACACCTCAGAGCGAATATTCCATGATTTTTTTCCCTCTTGGAAAAATATGCAAAAATGTCGTCTTTTTGCCGAAATTAAAAATCTAATAAATTTGTACCGTGGTCTTTTTACGCACTTTAAGGCTTTAAGATAATCCAAAGGAAAATCAAACTGAATATTACATTTCTTTTTACACAAAATTCAAATTCAAATACATGATTTTTCAAAAATTTTAAAATGATATTATTGTTGATAATTTAAAAATAAAACTATTAACTTGTATTTGAAAACTGCTCACATGCGCTATTGGTACTCATTCCCCCTCTTTCTTTCCCAGGAACGCCTTTCGTAAAAGAACCCTAACACCTAGAATTCATTCAACGTTCATGAGACATCTTGAAATATCACGTTATATGAGCTTTCTCTAGGATCATAATAATAATAATCTTAATATTTCAGTATAATACAAAGTAAATTTGATAAAAAATCTTTAACATAGGATATTCAAAAAAAAAAAGACAGTTTTACTCGCAATTCCCCCTCAACAAAAAAAAATCATGTAGGTTCCATGCCCTCTCGCCCGACTGTGCAGGTCTGGCAGCAATGATTTCTCACCCATCTAGGAAAGCTATTGTGATTTATGTATCCAAAATTATTTAAGAATCTCTTTTGGATGAAAAAAGAATGATGTAAAAGTTATTTTAGTTTTCTAGTTTTTGACGATTATTTGGGGACGCATGCAAAATTATAGCGTTGTTCATAGTCTCTCACGAATTGAAATCCGGTGACAGACACGTGACCACGTGTATAATCAATTCAGCCTGTCAATCAAGATTTCATTACTATGGTTACCAGGGATTTTACCGTAGTTTAGATCTGGTTGGTAATCGTTTGTTTGCTTGTAACTGTGCTCGGCGTTTCGTCAGGTGATTCAAGGCCGCTGGAGCAGCTGAAATTAAAAATAAGCAAAAATAATAATAAATAATTAAATAATTAAAAATAATCAAAAATTGTTGTCGTTTTTGAGAAGATTTTAAGTAACTGGTCGGTATAAGGAGGTATAAAAACTATATGACCTTCATTAGTAGACCCCTTGAGGCACGTTGGAATGTAGCTCAATTTGAAGGACATAATAGGTTTCCAATTCTTAGGAGATTGAAATTCCTTTGTTTTATTTTCCAAATTGAGCTGCTTTGATGTCTTATGCAAAGGGTCTATTGCAGCGTGAGAAATGTGGTCGATTTAGAGAGGTGGGCGATAAAAGAAGGTATGTTAAAGGAGATAACATACCGGGTAATTCGAAGGTAACGTCACACTTCTCGTTGTTTTGCAGCGTGAGAAATGCGGTGGATTTAAAGAGGTGTTCGATTTAGATAGGTGGTCGATTTAGATAGGTGGTCGATTTAGATAGGTGGTCGATTTAGAAGGGTGGCCGATAAAAGAGGGTATGTTAAGGGTGATAACATACCGGGTAGTTCGAAGGTTACGGCACACTCCTCGTTGTTTTCTAGCGGTTCTAGGTCGAGTTCATCATCGGTGATATTGTCGTCACTTGCTGCATCTTCGCCACTGTCGCCGGCTTCTTTGTGTCGCTTGGGTTTCAGTTGTGTTAGGTTTACTGTTAGTACATCCCTGGAAAGAATGCAACGAAGAAAAAGTATGATTTCTTTGTATTAATAACTGCTATGACAGTCACATTTCGTTATCACATGATTATCACGATCATCAGTAGATCATCATTATCATTACCATCACATTACCATCATATTTACGACCATCATCGTCATCACCATCATCATTATCTTCATCACAATCATCATCAAAACCATCATCATCATCATCATTATCACCACCATCATATTCACCATAATCACCATCATTATCACTACCATCATAATCATTACCACCATCATCATCGCCACCATCACAATCATTATCATCACTGTTATCACCATCATCATCATCACCACCATCATCATATTCACCATAAACATCATCGCCATCATCTTCACTGTTATCATCATCACCACCACCATTATTATTATCATCACCCACCGCACCACCGCCATCATCATTACCACCATCATCATCACAAGCATCACAATCATCATCATCATCACTGTTATCATCATCATCATCACCACCACCATTAGTATTATCATCACCCACCGCACCACCATCATCATCATTACCACCATCATTGCGTAGCTTTATTTCCATATCAGCTAGTATAATCCAATCTCTGACCAACCTTTGTTGCTGCAACGCCTCAAGTTGTTGAGTCAGTAAGCTTTTGACTTCATTTCCTTCTGTCAAATCTTGTTCCACGAGGTCTTCCTCCTGTGTTTACAAGTAATGTTATCACTTAAAAAGAACATCGATACAGGAATAGAAAACGCCAACGCAGACACACTTTGAACCAAATACAGCGCAAATCGCTGCTTGTCCAATCAAAATCCTCAGAGATGGCACCGTCACGGTCACGCCACGGTGCGTCCGTCACGTAAGTTATACGTTATAAGTTTTACAGTTATACGGAATCTGTTTTAAGTAGTAATGTCACGAGGAATGCTCAGTTACTATAATGGGTTATTAGCCATATCGGGGGAAGGGGATCCCGCAAACGTGGCGCGAGAATGTGGCGAGGAAATAATCACGTGACCCGAAGGGGAAGACCCTTACCTCTTCGTGTAGGTTGAGCATCGAGAGGCGTTTGGTGGTCGTGTCTGCTGCTTTGTCCAGCACGCGAATGTCGCTTAGAGTTGAACGAATCTTCATCACTTGACTCACGATTAACGTTTCAAGACACCTTAAAGTGAACAGATTCATGATTGAAAGACGTTTAGCATTATCTTTATCATCATCATCATCTCCTTCATCATTATCATAATTTTTATCAGTATCGTCGTGGTCATCACCGTCATCATCATCACCGTCATCATTATCACCACCCACCACCACCACTATCATCACCACCATCACTATCACCATCATCATCATCGCTATCAATATCAATATCACTGTCGCTGTCACTGTTACTATCATCTTCATCATCATCCACATCACTATCACTATCATCATCATCATTATCGCTATCAATATCACCATCACCATCACCATCACCATCACCATCATCACTACCACTACCACTACCACTATCACTATCACTACCACTATCACTATCACTATCACTATCATCACTATCACCATCACCATCACCATCACCACTACCACTACCATCATCATCATCATCATTATCGCTATCAATATCACTATCACAATCACCATCACCATCATCACTACCACTACCACTATCACTACCACTATCACTATCACTATCACTATCACTATCATCACTATCACCATCACCATCACCATCACCATCACCACTACCACTACCATCATCATCATCATCATTATTATTACTATCACTATCACTATCAAAATCATCATCTGGATACGACTCAAACGAGGGAACCCAGGCTCGTTTGGGTCCTGATTCTACAGGGTGCGAACATATAATAGCCACTGTTTCTTATGGCATACTTACTGTGTTTGTTTAGGGACGTGTTGTAGGCTTTCTAAGGGTCCTAGGCTGGAAGGGGTCCTCATGATACAAGGTGCCCAGATGATCGATAAAGCGTTAGGATGCATCAGATTGCTTTCTTCGTTATCGGCGATCCTGAAAAGTAAAGAAAGAAACAAAAATCTTAACTTGTTTTGTAGACGTTATCATACAGCGCTATTATCAATCTATATATCGTCATATCCCAACAACGACAGCAACAACAACAGCAGCAACAACAGCAGCAGCAAAAACAACAGCAGCAACGGCAGCAGCAACAGCAACTGCAGCAGCAACAGCAGCAGCAACAGCAACAACAGCATCAACAACAGCAGCAACAGCAGAAACAAGAGAAACAACAGTAACAGCAGCAACAACAACAGCAGCAACAACAATAGATAAATTAACCACACCTTTTGGCACTACAGGTGCGAACAACCCCATAGTGCTACTATGGATATACAGTCAATGCTGTAGTCGTTACCTGGCTAAGTGGAAGATCAGTCTCTCGAACATCTCTTTATTGACTCGGGGAAGCTTTTCTACTAAAGCGCAAAGTGTCTCAAGCTGTACTTTTTCATCGCTTAGCTCTGCAATGAAAGATTTGAAAGAGTTTCATCATATAAAATCTATGTAAAGCGCACTCTCGTTATAAATAATACTGATGATGATAATGAAGATGATGACAACGACGGTGATGATGCTGGTGATGATGATGATGATGATAAAAATAAAGTGATGATACTGGTGATAGTAATTACTATGAGTGAAGATGATGATAATCATGCTGTTGATGATAGTAATAAAGATGAAAATGAGGATGATCGTGATGATGATGAT